CCCCCCCCCCCCCCCCCCACTCAGCTCTGGTGTCATCTGCAGGATGGGAGGGGGAGAAGCAAGGAAGAGGGTGCTGCCCCGTCCCCTCCCCCCAGCACAGGCTGGGCAAACCCCAGCCTGTAGCTCCCTCCCCTTCCCTTCTCCCATCCCATCCCATCCTGCAGACAGCACTGGCAGCAGAGCTGAGCTGCATTAACTCAGCCCCACTTCCGTGGAGGGACTAACAGAAATTAATGAACATGCTCTGCTTTGGAGCACCTTCACTTGTACCCTCCTGGAATGAGGGTTAATTTGTCGCATGATCGGGCATTTTTAAAGCACCCTGCAGCTGTGCACTTCTCTCAGGGCATGGCTGTGGAGCATTTTCAGGGGGCCAATTGAGTGACAAAATGTCACTTCTGTCAGTGCCCTTAGTTCCTTTAACTGTTGTCCAGAATCTTGGGCCAGCTGATGAAACAGTTCTAGCTCCTGCCGATTCTAGGCTCTTTGGAGACTCTCATATTTGGACAGACTTAACTAGAACCTCCAGGTGCTACTGTTGTTCATATAAACAATGCTGATAACCACACCTCACAAAAAGGTTTATGCAGCAGGCACGGTGATGCTACAGCTCAAGACCCTGAACTACTCCTCTCTATGGGGATAAGTGCTCTGGTTCTCTGTGGAGTACATAAAAACATCAGATACACCATACTGGGTCAGACCAATGGTCCATATAACCCAGTAGCATGTCAGCAATTAGCCTTCTGTGAGCACAGGGAGACTCTGGCACATGCCTACTCAGAGGGTGACAGGCTACAGCCCCTGCACTGCCTCCTCCAGAACCTCTTGCTGAAGTTCTGGTTGCACTTCTCACCACACCTGCTTATTTACACACTCCCCGTCTGTGGCCCCACCAAGTCTTAGGACCTGCTGGTTAACCTCCTTCTGGCCCTGGCTAAGCTAGCTATACATCTAGCCAGGAAGGAGGCTCTGGTTGGGAGGATCCCCAGGGATTGTAGGGCTGCTTTCCTTTCTGTCTCCAGGCACAGTATCACCCGGCAGTGTCTGCTGGTTCCTTTAACTCATTTGAGGGCCAGTTGGCACTGCCCGATATGCTCTGCTTGATGTCCCCCCTTGGCACACTAGTTATAAACCTCTGACCTCCACTCCTGTCCCTGTTTTCTTCATTATTTGTTTCATGGAATCAGTAACACATCATTAGTGGCCCCCGTTACTAAAGGGGACTTATAGTTTCCTGGGTCCATGTTTCCCATTGATGTGTTAAAAAGCCTGTCAGCAATTAGCCTTCTGCAAGCAGAGGAAGACCCTGGCACATACCTACCTGGAGTGCGCCAGGCTTCAGCCCCTTCACCACTTCCCCCAGACCCTCTTGCTTAGGTTTTCGCTGCACTCCTCCCCACACCTGTTTATTTAGGTGTTCCCTGTCCATGGCCCCACCAATTCCCAGGACTTCCTGGACAAGCTCCTCCTGGCCCTAAATCAGCAGTATATTGCACCAGGAAGGACACTCTAGCTGGAAGGATCTCCGGGGACTGTGGGGCCACTTGCCTATCCCTCCTGTGATCTTGTCTCCAGTAAGAGTATCACTGAACAGTGTCCACTGGCTTCCTGGACTCGTCTGAGGGTCAGGGGGCGCTGTCCAGTGTGCTCTGCTCAGTGTTCTCCCTTGGCACACTAGTTTTAAGCCACTGACCTTACTCCCATCCCTGTCTTTACTTGTCCCCAGAAATGAGCTGTTGTCTACCTAGTGGCCTCCCTTTCTAAGGGAGACAGTGTTTCCTTGTGGGCAGTGACCTGCATTCCCAAGGCAACAAATAGGCCCGTGTCACATGGGGGCAGAGGGAAAGAGTGAACTGGGTACGACCAGGGTTTTTCCTACCATTTCTCTCTCACCTGCAGCCTCCAGCATTTAAGGCTCAGGAAGTTCAGATTCAGAGGCTGTGCCCCACACTCCCGAGCTACCAACATCCCTTCCCACCCAGAACTGTCCCATCCCTTTTGGAATCCGGCTACGTGGCCATTGCTGGCTTCTACCGCACCTGGGGGTGAGGAGCTCTGCACTTGAGCAAGACGCTGCATGAAAAAGAACTTCCTTGGGTTACGGGGGCAATGTTTAGGGGGTGCACACCGATGCAGGTGGTACACCCCCTCCAAAAACATGCTGCTGACACTGTCAGCGGCACACCACCCCGCTGCTGACACTTCTGGTGGCGTCTGCAAGTGGTCCACGATCCCCACTGGCTGCCAATGACGCTGCTGCCCTTGGCTGGTGCTTGCCACTTGCCACTGCCGTGCTGGTCCCCCCAGCTGCCAGGGGCAGGAGTCGTTCATGTTTGGTTAGTCCCAAATTTACTCCCTACTGGTTTCATTGTGTGACCTCTCATTCTTGTCTTGAGAGAGAGAGTAAAACAAATAATTATAACAATAATAAATACATTATTCAGTTAATAAATAGTATCTCCTTTCTCTTCGCCGTTTGCACACCTTGATCGCAAACCCTTGCTTGCCGCCACCCCTCCGCCCCTGAGCCGTGAGGCGGAGCAGCCCGGCTCGCGCGCCCTGTCCCCCTCACCGGGGCCCGAGGCGCCCGGCGCCTCTAACTGTTGTTCCGCAGCCGTTAACGGCCCGCCCCATCCCCTCTGCACCTGGCTCACCACGCCCGCGGCCACGCACCGCGCCAGCAGCGCCCCCGCCGCCGTGGGCCGCGCCGGGTCCCAAGGGTTGGAAGCAGCCATAGCAGCAGCAGCAGCAGCAACGCCAGCCCCCGCCTCCCTGACCCTTGAGCGCGCGGACCGCCTCCCGTGAGACAGCGCAGCTGAGGGGGCGGGGCGGGGCGGGGCGGGGCCGGGCCTCCCTCCTCCTCAGCCGCCGGCTGGCACCTCCTACCGCCATGTTGGGTGTGGCAGCCAATGCCCGCGGCAGCCTTAGCACGGGGTGGCACCTCCCCCTCTGCCATGTTGAGTGTGGCCGCCAGGCGGGCGCCGCCGCATTGAGTATGTTGACGTGCTGGGGCGGAGGGGAGCGGTACCCGCTTCCGGTCCTGCTGGCGGTGACGCTCTTCCTCGCCCGGTCGCTCTCTGTGGTTCGGAGGAGGCGGGTAATGCGGGGTTAGAGGAGCTGCTTAGCGGGGAGGCTCCAGCTCGGGTGAGACGGGAGGGTCCGGAGCCCGGGAAGGCTCATCCGGCTCCCCGCCAGGCCTCGCCCCGCTGCTGCTGCTGCTGCACGCGAGAGGCGCGGGGTGTTGCCGCACAAGAGCTGGGGCTGCACCAGTATCCTGCTGGGACCAGCGCCGGAGGCTCCTGGCTAGAGGGTCAGGTTCCCCCTCCCCCCACCAGGGCTGCGGGAAGGAATTTTCCCCCGTGGTCAGATTGGCAACGCGGGGGTGTTGGTTTCCTCTCCTCTATAGCTGGAGGTGGCCCTTTGCCTTGTGCCTCTTGGCATACTTTGACCTCCTTTGCAGCAGCAGGGCGTAGGCTGCCCCAGTCTCCTCTCTCTGCGGGGGTGAGGGTGTTGGGTGCGTGTTGTGTCAGGGTTGAGGGCTCTGTTGAGTTCAGATGGGATGGTTTTGGTAAGGATAATCCTGCCTCAGGCTAGATGAGCTCTGGAGCTCCCTTCCAGCCTCACTTCTCTGTGACTGTGACTTTTCCCGGCCCCACTGTCAAGCCTCCTGGCCAGCAGTTGTGCTTGCAGCCTGGAGAGTCACTTGGGTTAATCCAGTTAAGATCCATGTTTCACTAAGAAGTGTGTGTGAGTCATGATGTGCAGCATGTGTTGAGAGGCTGGGATTAATATATACATCTTATTTCTAGCAGGCAGTTTGGTTTCATGTGATCCAGTGCAGCAAGACCTGGGAGCACCAAGCCTGGGAGAAGCCTTTTAAACAGAGTTCAGAATCATTGGAACAGGACCAGCAGGATGGGAAATAGTGCCTTAAAAGCCCACCTGGAGACAGCCCAGAAAACTGGTGTTTTCCAGCTAACAGGAAAGGGACTCTCTGAGGTAATGGACTAGGCTGCATGTGCACTTGATTAATTCTTCTGGAGAGGGACTGCATCCCTAGTCTTTGTGCAATATTATTAATACACATGGCACTTGAAAAGTATTTCAAGTATCTCTCCATCTGCAGCATATGCTCGTGCATGTGCTGTGCTCTGAGCCAGCAGGATGTCTGTTTTCCAAGAAGCATTTATGCTTTTAATACATTTGCTTTTACCATAAAAACAAATTTTGAAACCAGAATACTTAACAGTTAATGCATCAAAAATGACGGTTCATGGTAGGAAAAGTTGGCACAGTGCAAATAATGTTTTATAACTATTTAGTGACGCAAGGAGATTCTCTAGAAATTGCAGAGCTAGGGCCTGAAAGTTTCACAGAAGCATGTACCTGCTTAGCAGTAGTTATGTGAGTAGCCCTGTTTGGTAGGACTTTCTTGTGAGCTTACGCTGGTTGACTTGTATCTAGAGGTGCACTGATACATGGGTCCAATATTGGATCGGCACTGGTATAAAGAAAATTTACTGTATTGGAAATTGGCCATATCAAGCCAATAATTTGGCCAATAAATAGCCTGTGTGCGCGCGTAGCTGCAGTGAGTACAGGCAGCGAGGAGCACGGCCCAGCAGCATGAAGAGCTGCCTCCAGCTGGTAAGTCTGGTGTGGTGGAAGGGGAGGGAAGGGGGGGGGGCAGATCAACTCCCCCATGGTGAGGGAAGAGTGGGGCTGGGGTAGGTGCTGTCCAGCCAGGGTGGAGTGGGTGTGGGACAGAGGTGTGCCCGTGGGATGAGCTGTGGCTGTGTCCTGTGCCCTGCCTGCTCTGCCCTGGCTGGACAGCACTTGACCCAGCCCCACTTCTCCCTTACTGTGGGGACCTTGATCTGCCCCCACATGCCCCTTCCCTTCCCCCCCGCCCCCTTTTACCACACCAGACTTACCAGCTGGAGGCAGCTCTCCACGCTGCCGGGCTGGGTATCAGAAATCAGATCAGTATTGGCCAATATGCATCCTTAAAAACTGGCTATCAGTATCAGCTGCAGAAGTCTCTATTTGTGCATGCCTGCTTATAACTGGATGCAAACAAGCAGAACAGTCTAACGTTTCCAAAATATCACTGTTTGGGGACCAGTTCACAATTGTTGCGGGACATGTGTAACAATTGAATTGGTCCCAGATGTCACTGATTGGGAACTGGTTCATGGGTATGTGAAGTACTGTGGCTTGAACACCAGGGGGTGGGAGTGAGCACCCAGCCCAGCATGCCTCTCAGTAGATGATGAACTGGGGAGGAGTGCTTGCACCTATTGAGGTGTCTCAGGACTAAGTGATCGGTGGCTGTGAGTATTGTTACTTTTCTGCTTTCTTTTGTTTCTTGAACACAGACTACTGAAGTTAATTGAACTCATGCTTAGGAAACAAGGGAAAGCAGAAAAGTGACATCCTGGGGAAGTGCTTTTGGAGGGGTCAGAGGCATGATGACAGGCTGTGGCTGAGTCGGGAGTGAGGGCGCAGCTGCTTGCCAGAAAAATAGTTTTATTGAACATACAGTGTAAGGGAGCTCATTGATTGATTAAGAAGTGCCAACAAAAGGGGGAAGAAGGGGATGTAGTAGAGTTCTGCCACATACCAGAGTGGCCAGTTGCAGCAGTGTGTGGGAGGGGGAGGAGCAATGCACTGTGGGATACCTGACTGACCAGACCCATATCACAGAACACTTGACGTCCACATGCAACACTGAGCCAGTTTTAAGTAGTGCTCAATTTTTCCAGGTACACTGTTGAACTATTTCCAGCAAATTTAAATTAAACTGGAATATACATCTATCTTTTAGGTTTAAACTGCATTTAAACTCTTCTAAAAGTTGTGTGTCCATCGCTTCTCGACCTCTTGAAGGCTCAGATCAAGTGCAGTAGGCAGCCAGAACATTGTCTCATGGATTAAGCTGTGTGGAGGCATTTGATGGTTCTTGCTATATTGGGTTATTAAAAACAGTTATGCCAGATACAGTTTGAAGTGGTCAGGGATGAAAGTAAAAGGGAGTGGATTCCACTTAGGCAAGGATAGTGGCAAGATGGAAGAAAATTTTTGTTTTTATGCTTACTTGATAGTGGAGGGAAGAAAGTAGTAGGATAGAGAAGGGTTTTTTGCTTCTGTCATGTTAAAATGATGAAGTAATCAATTAGCCATCTTTTATTTAAAATCAGGCACAATAAGGAAAACCCACAAAGGAAATGGTGTGAGTTTTTATAACCATAGTGCACTGTGTCATCCCACGTTGTCCGAGCTAGGAGTTGATTTTTCTAGGAGTTTGTAAAATGTCTGCCTTTTCTCAAATACAAAATTATCTTTTAAAATATGTTTTGGATTGAATTTGATAAGTATCGCTTTCTGTGGTATTAGTTCACACAATTATTCTACTAAAAAATTAATACCAAAATGTAAATAGCTGAAAGACTTACGCATGAAATTACACTGTCTGGTGTGAAGTAATACCAATTGTTTTAAATGCTGTATCTCAACTCTGTCTCTATTTATTTATTTATTTATTTATTTATTTATTTATTTCCTTTGTATTTTCCCACCCAGTTTCCTGAAGACCTGCAGAAGCTAGCAAGCAACTTGAGAACAATAGATTTGTCAAGCAACAAAATTGAGATCTTGACACCAGTGATAGGAAAATTTTCGGTTCTGAAAAGTCTTTCTCTAAACAACAACAAACTGAGTATGAAAACTGATTTAATATCATAATGGGGTTCTAAAAGAATAATGAAACAGAATATCTCTATTGTTGATCAGAAGTTAAATTTGATGACAAAATGTAAAGGAGATCTTTGGTCATTTATACTAAAAGCTTTTGGAATTTACAATCAAAATTAGATTTGTGACAAACTAGTTAAGAACTCTTAGATTATAACTTTGCAGTATCATGTAAGTACTTTAAAACATATCACATTGCTTGGTTTTCAGATCAGACAGTTCACAGCACAAAATCTGGTTGCATACTTGCACAGAAAATATTTGATGTGGATGTAGTACAGAAAACAGTTTTGGTAGTTCAGTAAGTGTCTCTTGGGCAAGTGTCCTGCAGACTTCAAGCAGCTACCAGCTAGGCTATCTGCCAGAGGTGCTAGGGTTGTTTTGGATGAGTGGTAAAACTAAAGTGTGTTTGTTTGTTTTTTAATGGATGTCAGGTGCTCTGCCTAGTCTCTTAATCAAATTAACATGGGATGGGAAAAACTAAACTCGTATGTTACTTCTAAATTTACTGTACGTGTCTTAGAATACATCAGCCAATTGCCTTAATCATGAGAATAATTTTATGTTAAAATCATAGAAAATGAGGGTTGGAAGGGACTTCTGGATGCCATCTAGTCAAACCGCCTGCTTAAAGCAGGACCATCCCCAACTAGGTCATCCCAGCCAAGGCCTTAAAAACCTATGGTATAAAATCCTATCAGAATACTCCTGTGTGGAATATAGCAATGCTAGTCTTGGCTGTTTTTAAATATGGACACTTTTGTTTTTTTCTAGTTGCTTAGGTTGTTCATAATTTATTTCTAGCTGCTCTACCTGAGGAGCTGTGTAAACTGAAAAGGCTAGACACGTTGCATCTGAATGGCAATCACCTGAGACAGCTGCCAGCTGGCTTTGGACAACTCTCAGCTCTCAAGACCCTGAGCCTTTCTGGAAATCAGCTTCGGACTGTGCCCACCCAGTTGTGCAGTCTTCGTCATTTGGATGTGGTGGATCTCTCCAAAAACCAGATCCAGAGTGTGCCAGATGCAGTAGGGGAACTGCAGGCCATTGAACTCAATTTGAATCAGAACCAGGTCTGGAAACTGAGGGTTGATAGGCATGTGGACTTGAAGCATGATTATTTCATTCTTAAAGAGCAAGTGTTCCCTACAAATCAGAAAATGAGATACTTGGAGGTTCTAGGGTGAAAGGACTGCTTTTTTGTTTTAAGTATGGTAGTATAGGTGGGTGCAAGGAAGGATCTGATATCTCTTACTGCCTGGTTTGACTGCAGGATTGTAAGAATGGCCTTTCTTAAAGGTCAGGTCTTTTATAATATTTTTTCTTCAAGAAGAGCAGATAGTTACCGTATGAGAAGAATAATTTGGACACCCCCATTGTGTTCGTCCACTCCACCAATCCACTGTAGCATTTAGCCTTTTATCTTTGTTTCTTAGTAGGTCCCTGTTTTGGGAAGGGTATCTAGATAGTGGTGGTTTGAGGTTCAGAAAACTGCATGGTGAATGAAGCTTGGAATAGAAGGATTTCAGTGTTTACTAACTATGTAGAACTTATGGATTCTTTGGCTGTTTAACTTGCCAAATGCCAAGTTGATTTGGAATAGTGTTATTATTGTCACATGAGGACAGTATTAGAAATAAGAAGTAAGCTTTGTTGTTAGGTTCTTTATTTTAGAAATATTCAGTCTTGCCCTTATGGTTCAATTAAAGAAGTATAACAGGCCCTTTAAAAATAAACTAATTTATAGCTGTCAACAGAACTAGGAAAGTCAGGAAAATAGGAGGTTCTTAGTTTATCTCATTACCCCAGTTAATCTATAGCCGTGATTCTCAATCAGGGTACCACAGCACCCCAGAGTGCCTTCAGATCTTTTCATGGGTGCTGCAGGGTGCCATGCAATGGTAGCAGTGCAAGATATACAAACAGAATCATGAGATTAAACCCAGATATTTCAAATAAGAGTCCACAGTGTTAAGAACTTTCTGATCTGTTGTGGTCTTTCTAAATTCTTTGCAAGAGAAGAGTTGCTGTAATATTTTTCTTTTTCTGTAGTCAAAAATGAAATGAAAACTAAGAGCTGACATTTTGAGGCTTCCTTGAGTCTAAAAACATTAAGAACTACTGGTCTATAGAATAAGCAATAGCACTATTAGTGTGCCTTGTATTTGGATAACTCAACATCAGATTTGTTAAATAATAGCTTGCAAAACACTGCTTGGTATACAGGTAAATAACTCATTAACAGTATTTAATTTAAACTTCGTTCACTCTCTCCTTTGCTACCCAACAGATTTCCCAGATTTCTGTGCAGATCTCTCACTGTCCACGGCTCAAGGTTCTGCGTTTAGAAGAGAACTGTCTAGAACTCAGCATGCTTCCTCAGAGCATCCTCAGTGATTCCCAAATCTCACTGCTCGCAGTTGAGGGCAATCTTTTTGAAATCAAGAAGCTCAGAGAACTGGAGGGCTATGACAAGGTGTATAGTTAAATATCTAGTGAATGCCATTTAATTCCCGTTCCAAAAATGTATTCTCAGAATATGGGGTGGGGGAGGTGAGGGCTATGCTGTTAGTTATGCTGCTGGATGAGAGCTCAGACAGTCCATTGGTTTTAGCAAGGACAATCTTTGGGGAAGACCTACCTTCCTTTTGAGCTTATTAGACCATAACAAAGGACCTGTTTGTGGGTGGCACAAGAACAGGTTGTAAGATGAATGTCTTGAGTGGTCTTTTTTTATGCCTCAGGGAGGCCTATCCCTTCAGATCTGGCATACATCAAACTGCACTGTAGCATGCATTTAAGCCAGTTTATTTTTAAGTTACAGCGCTCTTAACCCAGTAATTAGGTGATACCAGCAAGGATACAGCATAGTCTGGAGACTGAAAGCTACAATTTTTAACACACTGGTAGTAGTGAAATGGAGCAATAGTGGTATTTCTAGTTAGTGCTAAGTTTGAGCATTATTTATTTGGGTTTCCCTTCCCAGTGACTGACACAGGAAACTGAAACTAGGGAGCATCAAGTTTGGAAGAATGGAGGGGGAGGGCTTCAGTTGTTTAATTGGCCTCAGATTTTATAGCTCTTTCCTTGGAAAGAATTTGGGTTGTGTGGTTTTGTGTGTTATATAATCTTCTGCACGATGGTTGTACTATAGAATTTCTTATAAGAAAGTGTCTGTATTAGCCTTGTTGCTGCTTTCATTTTTATTGCAGGAAATTTGATACTGACTCTCATAAGTCCTTACCTGTACTAGGTAGTCTTGTAGATAAAGTTGACCTTGTAGATAAAATTGTGGGAGGGGGGAATTAAAATGACTTAAACTTTTGAGTCCAAATATTTTTGTTATCTCAAACACGTATATCTCCTGATTTGCATTGTCTGGGTGACAACAAGTTTACAACCAATTGGCTATAGAAGGGAGAGGTGTTGTCACTTAAGTATCTGAGAGTGCCAAAGCTCTTCCATTGATGTCATTCAAATAATATTGCTTTGTACCTGATAGTATAATACTTGGTCTCTGCAACACTGAATATTGTTTTGGCAAGGAGCCTGTAGGTTGTATTTATTCATGTAAGTCTACAGATTCCTTAGAAAAATCATGACTACAAATTCCTTGCTAAGTAAATGAGCTCTTGGCATTCACCATCAATAACATCTGCAAATGGCATCTCTCTAATCTGTTCTAAGGACAAGGTATTATGAGGCTTTTCTGATGTTCATTCTGGTTTTTTTGTTTTTTTTTTAACTTGAAGAAATAATGATCGTCACTGCTGTCCAAGCAAGCTGTTTACCTGTTACCCCAAACTGAATTGTTTGGAATGACCATGTTAACTCTGGTAGGGTTAGAGTGCTGCAACTATGCTGGTCTAGGAAATAAGCAAAAAGCAAGACTTTCTTACTGAACCAACTGCATAGTTAGGAGAGGTGTTAGGCAAGCTTGAGGACACAATCTTCATGTTGGGTACTTTATGCTTAAACTTGTCTAATATCTCTTCCCAGCTATATAGAAGTGATCCAGAAATAGCCAAGAAATCCCCCTGCCTCTTACAAACTGACTGTTTGTTGTTTTTTGTATCCATACTTTCTTCCTTCAGAACAAATAACTTGATCTCTTCTCTGTGTTTTTTAGTATATGGAGCGGTTCACAGCTACGAAGAAGAAGTTTGCATGATAGTTTGCCATTCTGGGTTTGTCACCAGAAAGAAAAAGGCAGCAAGTGAAGCAGTGTAATCAGCAATGCTGGCTGCCTGGCAGGAGAGGACTTCCAAGACTGGAGATGAGACTGACCATATTAGCTTCACACTAAAATGATAGGTTGTTGCCAAGGATGCTTCAAGCAAATATGGGCATTGAACTGGTAAATCTGCCTGAAGGCTGGTTTCCACTTCTGGGCTATCATAGCTTTCAGTTCACTTTATTCTCCTTTTTCAGGGCACACAATGACTTTAGCAGGAGATAAGGGGAATGCAATTCTCACTGGTGGCTGAACTCAGGTGTTGGTCATAAGCTTCTTTTTTACAACAATTATTCCCCTTTCAGGTGTTGCTTTAGGTTAGTTAAGCTACTTTTGTTGAAACACTCATGTGGGAATGAGCTGAAGTTCTATTACCAACACAACTCCAAAATGTCACACTTGCTGTAAATGTCTACTAGTATGGATAAAGCTAACTTTAACATGTCGTAACACTTAAAATTGTGTACACTTTATGAAGCACAAAGAGTTCATGCAGTTAATTTATTTAAAGTATTTTATATTAATTGCTTTTTAAAATCAAATCATGTCTCTGGCATTATTTTTTGTCATTTAAACTGTTGTAGAGATTCTCTTCTACCTGATAGAATTGCACTATGGTTCTTTTCTTCTTAAGCAGTATTTAATGATTACTCGACAAGTTCTCAATATCTTTAGTAAAATATACTTTGCCAGAAAAGTTGATATCCTTGCACTGATTTAATATTTTCTGCAGAGCCACGTCTAAAGTTTTTTCTTCACCTTTTTACAGCTGCCTTACTACCAAAAGCACTCGCAATTGTATGTAACTGGCACTAAAATGATAGCTATGTATTTGCTTATTTTAGTAAAACACTTTAAAAAGAACTAAATGTCTTAATTCCATTTGAAATCTACCACTTCAAATTTTTTTGTTTTTTTGTTTTTTTTTTTACAGACTTAACTATAAGCCCTTTTTATTGAAGGGTACTTGTTTTTGTGTTTTACCCAATCTTGAAGGAAGCCTACACTTAAAACTGACAAAATAAACATGCTTTTCAAAAAGAGAAAATGTTTGGTAGATATTAAGTGTGCATCTCAAATAGCAAGTTAACTAATTGCTATTGCATGTAGAAACAGAAGTTGTATTCCATCAAAGCACATTTTCATTGTAAGACGTTAATGTTACTTCTGCATGTTGTTTCTACTGCAGCTGATGTGAACTAATTGCACTTAAATATTGCCCAGCATTTGCACTGTACCTGTCCCTCCCTTTAAGTCCTCTCAAAGGCCTGTTAAATAAGGTTAGTTAAGAATTCAGAAATGCATAGAAAGTTAACAGCACTGAACTTCAGTTACTCTTGCTTGGATAGGTGGATAGACTGAATTTTTTTTTTTAAATGACTACCAATAAAAGTCAGTTTGCTACCATGAATTCCCTGCCCTTTAAAGCTTAGAACATGCATTAATTTTTCAGGAGTGCCTCACCAAGGGGAAATTTGAGTACTGTCCCTGTATGATTTATTCCAAGCTGAGTGTGAATTAGTATCTAATCAGTGTTCCCTGAAATCCACACTCCCTTCTATCTTAAGTATGTGGTACCAGTGCTGTAGCTCAAAGGGACAAAATTCATACTGTTCTTTAACAAGGAAAATTACTTGCACTCAGTGTAAAACTATTGAGAAGCAAACTTGAAGTGTGAAAGTCAATGGAGAGAATAGTATTAGCTATATATTTTATGAAATAATAAAAGTTCTACAAGCACTAGTGATAAGAGGTGGTTGGGTGACAAGTACATAACTACTATAACTCATGTAAAAAGCCTTATTTAATTAACCTGCAGGTAAGTTGGAAAAAAATTCAGCATTAATCAGGGTGAATTAAGTCTTACCATACCAGTACTATTAGGGTTAAATACAGCTGAAATACTGTACAAAAAAGCCTCCAAACCCCTTTTAAAAATAAGCACATGTAATCCAAGCAAGCTGTTACTTCAGGTGAGTAGGAGGTAGTTTCATTGCTTGGTGTGGAGGTGGTGAGGGGCATGTTGGTGCAGCACATGGCCTGATCTAGCCTGCTGGCTAGCCCCACTCCATTTAACTAGCCCAATGGGGCCAAAACTGTGGGCACCACTGCTCTTTTAACAGCCTAACTTAAAATTGCAGCTGTTCATGCTGAGAAAAAAAAGAGGAGTACTTATGCAGGAGAAAGTGGGTAGAGACAACAGTCCATCATTCCTTTCCTTGTTTATAATTTTATGAAGAAAGTTATCTTAAATGTAGTTGACCACAGAGGATAAGAAAATGGACTAATCTCTGGTCAGAAAAACAGCATGGCAGTAAGTGAAGCAACTGCCATCTTCTCTACTGCTCAGCGGTTCAGTCCAGGAGCTACTTGACTCATACATGTCAATTTTGGGGGAATTAAATGTGGCTTGAAGCACAGCAGAGTTCCTTTAACATTCATTATGCCACATATGAGAGTCAGAAAACATTTAAGCAAGCCTCGTTTCAGGTATATTTCACCTTAATTATTATCATATAGAGCTGTAGTGTTAATGTTAGCAGCCCCCACAGGCTAGTGGAGGGTTGTTTGCTTTAGCCAGAAAAGCTGTGAGAATCCCTCTTCAATTAACATGACTGCAGCCACATGAGAAGTTTTGCTACTTGAAAACCTTAGTAGCATAAATATAAATAACCTATTTTCTAGCAACTTTCACATATATAGCTTTCTCTTATCTCCTGTAAGAAAAGTATCTCATTGCAAAGGCAAACAGCCCTTCTCGTAAGTTTGGAGATGCTTGAAGAATTTCTAGGTATGCTACCTACTGTTGAAAAAAAGTCCAGCCCTGGATTTATATACATCCTTGTATTACAGTAGTATATACTACTCTTGTTAGTCTAATGCAGTATTTACTCTATACTGGTGCCTCAGGTCATTCTTCCCCTACCCCATTCTTTGACCTATTTCACTTATCCTTTTTTTCATTGCTCTGCAGATACTTCTTTACCCTCATATCTCTACCCATAAAAAGATTTAACCAAGATGTTGCCATTTTAGCTCTGCCCCACAAGCCCCAGTTAGTGCTTGGGGTGGCGTCAAACAACTCTGCAGTAGGAATATTGAGGGGAGAGTTAGTTACACACTCTTGTGCTCTCACCTTACCTCAGTTTTTTCACACCATTTTTCTTTTTTAGTCAAGCTACTTATTGTCTCTCTGCATTTGTTGTTACATCAACAAACTTTGCAAACTAGAATTGTATTAGAAATCCACTAAAAAAAAAAAAGAGTGTACAGCTGTGCAAAAGCATCTTAAAACAAGAATTCTGCAAGGGAGGAACAGGAATAAGACCTTGGGAATTGGTTCTGCCAAGTTTTCCCAGAGGTAAGCTGATTAGAGGTTGGTATACAAAGACTCTGGTTACAGAGTTCTGTGTTTTGTCATACCTAATGGCTTAATGATGCAAAGCAACCATAGAACGTTTCCTTCTGTATGCTATTCAGGATTGTATTTAACATAAAAAGAAAATATGCACGTAAACAACTTTTATTCCATCTAGTACATATGATGAATTTTTATTACAGTTTAGGCCAACAAAAATGAGAAGCAGACAGTTTTGACACATCAGTGCCCCAAACCCCCTCAAGGCCCCAGTTCTGTACAACATGAAAGACACTGATATTCTGTTAGTTAATAAAGCTTTATCCATGTGCTGTCACATTGGCACAAGGATTGTATGGTAATTAGGTCCCAGGTAAGCTGTACAAATACAAGCAGCATCACATGGGAAACCGTTTTAACCTGCAATATTACATTTTTGTGCATCACTGATGGTACTAGTTTTCATGGCTAACATATTTAGTTACTGTAACAGCAGCATGGGAAGTCAAACATGGGTTAAAAAAAAAAAGTTTTTTCCAGTAGTGGGGGATGGGAGGGGAAGAGGGAAGCAGAGTATTCCAAAGGAATCCTAGAAGAAGTTCTAGAACAGGGGTGCTCAGCCCCTGGCCTACAGGTCAGATCCAACCCACAGGTACACAGGGAGTCCTGTAATCTGTGGCACTGCACCAAAGAAACTATTGAGTTTCCTATCCTCAGCAGAACATACCATTGAAGTGAACAAAAAGCCCAAAACATGTTATTTTCAGAAAATGTTTTTTCAACCAACAGACTTATGGGGTGGGGGGAGGAACTTAGGTATTCAAATCCCTTTAAAACAAATAAAGCAACACAAATACAAAAAAAAGTTTTCCCATGCACTGTTTAAGAGCTTGTAGGAGCCTGCAATGTTTCCAAATACCACTTTGCTACCCATGTGGGCATCCTTCCAGCTCTAGCAGAAGTCAACATACAACCACAAGTGTCCATTATCAGCAAAAATTGGCATCATTATCTCGGTTCATACTAGACTTTCCAGTGTTTTATCTAGCCTTCTAGTTACGTCTCACTTTCATTTTTCATGGCCAGGATTTGTTTGCAGTGAGATGTCCCCGAAGTGGCTTAAAAATGCTAGTTATTTTGCTGGTTAGAGTATGTTACATACCTAATATTTGGTTAATGTGTGACCAAAATTACCCATCGTGACATTTTTTAATGTTAGCTTTAGCCCAGAATTTTCTAAGGGCTGCAAATACTCAATTACTGGAACAAAAGTGTTACGTATGGAATCCTCAAGTGACTTGTGCAGAACCCTCCCTTTCCCACAAAGTGCTAGCACTGAATATCACAGTTTAGGTTACATATAAATCATTCATAGACTGAAGAAGTGGATACTATAACAGCTTTCTTCACCCCTGAAACAATCCACTTGTGGTTTTAACTTTTAGGAGAACACTGGGAATAGAGCAGATTAAATGCATTTGCAAAACAAAACATGAACAATCTGTTCATAGGAAGAACAAATCCCTTTCCAACCCAGAGAAACTGGAGCATTCTGGTTGTAAGCCACTTGGATTTGGATCATTTCCTACTATATGTTTTAAAGCCTGATTACTAAGCTGGTTTATTACAGCAGAACTAGAGCAAGCAGATTGTTCCCAGAACAAGGGAGAAAAGGAGAGCAGTAGTTCATGAAATATTTGCTGTTCTTTCAAGAAACATTGCTACAAACTAAAGATCTAAAAATGTTAGTCACTTATTGTAAATTTGCTATTACTTATTGTTTAGATTCGGTGGGAAGATACACATACATACTTCAGTAGGATGACTTTACACAGGCTTTAAAAGAACAAGTCTGTCAGACTTCAGAAGATATTTCTTCCATTATATTGATTCAGAGATTTAAAAAGCTGCCCCAGAGCCACTGCAGGGGAACAAACCTTTATATAAACCCCAACTGAGATTTTTGATATAGCACTGGATTACATTAGACACAGATCTATACAAGTACAAGATATCTGCTCTACTATGTATTCAGACTCAAGTCTCTTGTAAGCTCAGATATTTTTATTCATTTTGAAGTTTTGTCCAAAGCTTTATGGTTACTTCAAAAAGTGTGTGATACAATTATTAGGAAAAAAATGCAGCAGAAGTTGCTAACCATGCCATTTATTTTTTCCTTAATGTAAAGTGATGGATTAAAGCTGGTGTACCCCTCCAATTTAATTTAACATTACAAATTTGTGTTTAAACAAATATGTATTAAAGCCCTCAACCTAAATGTAGTAGCCATTGGCTATAACTTGTTACATCTGGTAGTTCAAACTTAGCCCCCCAAAGCCTTTCATAAATTGCTTGGAAGTTAAACCAACCACCTGTAAAGCTGCTAAATTAAGAAGTACCAGACATAAGAATCAAGCCCTTATTTTAGTGAGGGTACACAACTCTGAGGTAATTCAAAGGAACATAAAGCATATGAAGTGCCCTGTCCAACCTTTCCACAAGTGTTAACTCATGTTACACCACCATTTTCCCCAAACTGAATAGAACAGTTTGTGCAGGGGAAAGGATGAAGAATATATTAAAAACCAAAAAAAGCGGGGGGGGGGGAGGCAAAACAAAGCCAAAAAACCCAAAAGCTGTGAAAGCAAGCCCTGCACAGGCTGAATTAAAATTAGATTAAAACAGGATCAATTCTTCTCTATTAAGAGTGAGCTAGGTTGGCAACTTTGCTGGAGAAGTCAAAGCCAAGTCTGAATACAGAGGCCAAGAAGAGGGAAACCCTAATGAAGCAGCTTCTTTTTCACTCTTCACAGCCCTTTTTATTCTGAGATACAGGAAGTTTCACAGATCCATGAAAATGGTGGCTTGCAGCTGGAGAAAGATATTGGACAATGGCAGCAGGCTTTAGCTATCAATGAGTTTCTTGGCTCTGACATTGGCATGCTCAATGCGATCTTTGTTGGTATCCGCCTGAAATGTAAAAAGCATGCTTAAGAACAACAGGTGACTGGAAGACTTTATGCCAAGCAAAATTAATATAGTAAATTCAAAGTCCACCCCCCACAGGCTGGTCCACAGAACTGCACTGCGCTATTATTTGGATTCATAGAAGGGAAATGGGAAGCCTTTGCTGTTGACTCAGTAGTGGCTTGTAGTTTTGCAAGAGGGCAGAAAGATTGTATTAGTTCTCTTCCATCACTCTAGCCATCCTCTTGAGGTTTTAGAGGAGCTGGGAGAAGTTATATAGGGAAATCTGACAAGGATTTTCCTCTAAGCTTACTTCAGTGACTAGTAAGGCAAGTGGCTTTCCACAATGCTTTGTTTCTCTGATAGCAGCCAAGGTAGGATACGGTTTAGGAAATAACTTTGCAAGAACTTCACTGTTTAAAAACACTGGACTGTATTAAACCAATTAAAAACCCACAAGCCAGAAGTAGCTGTCAGATGAAAAGAGTTTAATCTAACCTAACCACCTGGATTTAAAAAAACCAAACAAAAACAAAACTCCCCAAAAAACAAACTACACCACACACAAGCTATCAAGTGTCATGTCAGTGAGGCCTACATGGAACCCATGAAATTCTATAGCCCAGAAGATACTTAAACATCCAAATTAGGATTTAAAGTGTTGGGTCTCCAAAAAGTTGTTCTAGCCTCACTGTCCAACCATTGGTTCTTGTTCTGACCATCTCAAAGAAACACATTTTTAGTTTTATAAATAATCTTTCCCCAGACAGATATCAAATAGGTCATTGCTCCTTCAAGTCTCACTGCAGGACAAACCCTTCCTGTTCCTATTTTCTGAATGTTTATAGCTATTTTAAAACACTTTGTGAACTAGACATGTTTTTGACCACCAGTCAGAGCTGCATACTGGCAATACTGCCAAAACTTGTACTACATGTATAAAGCAGGGAACATGGAGAGAGTTGCATTTACTGTCAGCCACATCATATAACACCAGTCAAGCTGGTTAATTTTAATTCTTCCCTGGGCACAAAACTTGTAATTGGTGCAATCACCTTTGTATTTCCTTCTTGTATTATTAAGACCCCTTGGTTGTGGTTAAGGACTTTTAGCCTCCCTTATTGCTAAACTAGCAATCAAGCTGCAGGCAATTATCATCAGCTTCCCTTTTCAGTTGTCATATATATAATACATAATATTATTATTACTTTTGTTTCCCTTTTTAGCTAGCATGGATTTTAAAGCGTGAAATCCATCACTTCTTGGTGACTGCTGAACTGGAGTGGAGGGAGAAAGGGGTGGTACAACTTTAAAGCACCAATTAAGAGCTCAACATCTTCCTATTTTTGGAACACTAAGCTTGTGTTATCCTAGCTTGCACCCCTAAAACCTACTAAGTGTTTAAAATTCATCTTAATAAGAACACGAGAATTGCCATTTACTGGGTTGGATCATAGGTACATCTTACTAGTCTCCTGTGTCACAGTGGTAAAGACCAGATGCTGAAAACGCAGAGTGAACTGGGCATGAGCAGGGCCCCCCCCCCCACTTGCAGCCTCCAGCATTTAGGGTCTAGGAAGTTCCAGTTCTGAGGTTGTGCCCTTCACTCCCATGCTCAACAGCAACT